ATTATGCATTAACGATTGGACCAATAAACAAATTTGAGGGGAAACTCTGTGAAGAGATACCAGGATGCATTCCCTTTGCACGCAGCTGCAAAAAAGTAGATGAGTGGTTCAACCAACAATTGGTGTGGTCAGAGGAATCAAGACAAGATCGAAGACTTAGACGCGACCGCCTTAACGCTGTAGTGTTAAGAAATGTCGTCTTGGAAGATCAGAAGCCGAAGAGGAGCAGTTCTGAGTTGACTAAAAATTCAAAGAAGAAGAAGAGTGAAGAACCTGGAAAAAAATCGAAGGACCAAACACAAAAAGAAGGAAGGCCACAGAAGAGGTCATCAGTGATTGTTAATGTGGATGAAGGTTCGACGTTTGCAGCAGTTCTGAGAAAGATCCATGAGGAAGTGAACCAAGAAAAAAGCCATACGATTTGTGTGGAAGCTGTTCCCACCAAGAAGGGAGACCTCTTTATCAAACTTAGAGGTTCTTCTGATGAGACCTGCACCAACGTGGTCACTAGGGTGATTGGTGACCTGGGTAAGGTGCAGATTATGGACCGGCCAACTACTTTGAAGATCCGTGATCTGGATTGTCTTACAATTCAGATATCCAGGAGGCCCTGGATAGAGTTTCGGTAATGATAGTAGGAAGCGGAAGGGTAACTGTCCTGGGACCTAATAAGCGAGGTGATAAGCTCGCTATTGTAGTAACCACACAGCAAGATGGAGAGAAGCTGGTACATCTCGGCCACATGAGGGTTGTCTTTTTATCTTGTCCAGTGAGGAAAAGAGTTATGGTCACCAGGTCACTATGGACATATAGGTAAACATTGTAAATCGGTAGATAGGTCAGCTGCGTGCTTTAAGTATACGAAGAAGCCGAACCCAGTTGGCTTTGAAATCAACGTCGATAACGTGGTGTCATGGTTCAAAACGTGGACTCCTGAAGGCATATTGAATCTTTCATTATTAAAATAATAGGGAAAGGATTTAGGTTTTACTCCTGTCCTTGTTTCCGCATTGGATGAGTGGATTAATGTCACGTTAAGGAGCAGGACAAAGGGACCACCACTTGCGAAGTTTAGGGCCCGACGGTAGTACCGCAGGTGGATCAAGTGTCCCAAATTAAGACGGAAGTGGTTTTTAGTGGGTCGACCAGAACAAGAGGGGTCATCCCTACATAACCTGGGATTCTTTATCCAAGTATCTAAATTTACAGATTTTCCACTTCCAACTACAAAAAAATAATTAATTGTTAGGATATTTATGTTCAAACGTCCCTAAATTTCTTTCTGGAAAATACTTCTGCACTATTTGTAAGGTTTAACATTCTCTAAACAAACTAGAGAATATAAATATTTCCTAAAATTCAAATACTCACAGCTGGTATTACAACTAATAAACATATTCCATGACAAAGTATACGTAAAAGTGTTCACTGCATAATTGTTTGATAGGTCCATTGTCCAATAGCTGTTAAAAAATATTTATTCACATTTAAATAGTCATCTAGTTCCTTAGTCTGCATGTTCTAAAAGTTTAAATTTAGAATATTAATTATTTTTGTTGCTTGTCATCGAATATACAAATATTGAAAATAGTTATAGATGAGACATTTTAATTATTTAAAATATTTTCACTATTACAATGCACAATGAAATATTACTTTTTTTCTTAACTACATATATTGAATAATGTTAATAACTATATTTACAGGTTTTAAAGAAATTGTTGTTTTTTCTTGCAAAAGAATATATCCACTATCGTTTTTCGAATTAACGCTTTTCTGATAATGGTATTATCTTTATTTCTATTTTTATATATTATTAAAAATTAATAATTCCATTTTCATACAATAATATTCATTTAAAAATTACACTTCTTGCGTTCATCTATTGTAGGTTGAATGATTTGAAATAGAAAGCCTCATATATAACTTCTTCCAACTTTAATTGTAACTACTTATTTCTGGTTAACATTGACATAATTTAAATGTAATACTAAAATATAACAAAAGCTTTGTCTACTTTGTTCATCGCTCAACGGCTGGTTGTAGAATGAAGAAGAACTTGCTCTTTGGAAAATCAGATTATTGATTACTTTAGACATGTAATGGGTTACCAGGAACAATTGAATAATAAATTAAGTTACAATGAATTTTAAGTCAGTGGGTTAAATATTTGCAATAAACGTTCCATTTAAACTTTATTTATTTATGTACCATCTATGTCTGTTATTTTACTAACTCTTCCACAAAGCGAAAAATATTTCCAGTAGAGTCTGGAATATTATTTTGTCTTCTAAAGATTTCTTTGTCAATCGTATTTTATATCAATTCACATAAAATGTTATAAGTTGAAACAAAATTTCAAATATGATTTAAAAATTGTTAAAAAATGTATTAAGTGAAAGTATTTAATGGAATGTCTGAAATAGTATAATGTCCCCAACATTATTAACTTGTAAGGGGTCGTCCATATACCACGTGGACATTTTGGGGGTGGGGGGGTTAAAAAAGTTTGAAAATGTCTACGATCCCATGTATTTTTGTGTCCACAAGGGGGGAGGGGGGGTCAAAATTTTTTGAAAAACTGTCCACGTGGTATATGGACGACCCCTAAAGGAACAGTAAGTATTAAATTAATAATTGTCAATTTCTTGAAGGCATAAATAAAGGAGAGAAAAAAAATATTGTTACGGAATTATCAAAAAGTGCTTCATCCTGGTTACACCGATTTTACTACGATAACGAGAAAGAGACATCCTGAGCACTAATCTTGAATTTTTGCCGAAATCTCAATTTGGCTTTTATAACGTGAGTATTTAAAATAACCCTTTGAGTCATACATTTTTCATTTCATTGAAATCTATTAAAACTGGTTACTTCGGGGGTTTTTGGGGTCGCTGAATACGAACCTGGCATCAGATTTTCAAAATTCAAAATGGCGGATCCAATATGGCGGACGCGAAAATAAAAAATGAACAGAATTTGCTTGGAACTCGTTACTCGGGGGTTTTTGGGGTCGCTGAATACGAATCTGGCATCAGATTTTCAAAATTCAAAATGGCGAATCCAATATGGCGGACAACCAAACAAATGACAAACGACAGACTTACACGAACGATTCTCTTCACAGGTAAGTACTGACTTCAAACAAACAAATGACAAGCGACAGACTTATACGAACGATTCTCTCCACAGGTAAGTACCGACTTTAATCAAACAAATAAAAATCGACACAATTAACACAAACGATTTCCTCCACAGGTGAGTATAGGCTACAATCGGACAAATTACAATCAACAGACTTACACGAACGATTATCTCCACAAGTAAGTACCGACTTCAAACAAGCAAATGACAAACGACAGACTTACACGAGCGATTCTCTCCACAGGTAAGTACCGACTTTAATCAAACAAATAAAAATCGACACAATTAACACAAACGATTTCCTCCACAGGTGAGTATAGGCTACAATCGGACAAATTACAATCAACAGACTTACACGAACGATTATCTCCACAAGTAAGTACCGACTTCAAACAAGCAAATGACAAACGACAGACTTACACGAGCGATTCTCTCCACAGGTAAGTACCGACTTTAATCAAACAAATAAAAATCGACACATTTAACACAAACGATTTCCTCCACAGGTGAGTATCGGCTACAATCGGACAAATCACAATCAACAGACTTACAAGAACGATTATCTCCACAGGTAAGTACCGACTTCAAACAAACAAATGACAAACGACAGACTAACAAGAACGATTCCCTTCAAAGGTAAGTATCAACTTCATTCCAACAAACGACATTCGAGAAACTATTACTAACGATTCTCTCAACAGGTTAATATAGCTTTTACGTTGACAGAAGGTATTTTGTTGAGTAGAAGCAGTATTATTGTTTGTGTTTTTTTACATCACATCTTGCATTAAGTTTGACATTTTCAGTTACTTATCGGTTAGCAATTCTTTACTAATATCTACAGTTTTTTCAATCGGATTGTCAAAAATGGTACATTATATTCTGTATCAAAAAATTAATTCTTTTTTTTTTATAGACAGAAATACTATGAAGAGGATTTTACGTTAAACGAGTTACCTGACTGTGGACTGTCAGGATTCATTCACTTTTGATTTTACTCTTTAATTTTATCCGAACGTTTTGAATCTTCTAAGTTTATTAATAAATTTATTAATACTCATGCCAGATTCGTATTCAGCGACCCCAAAAACCCCTGAGTAACCAGTTTAAAGCAAATTCAGATTATTTTTAATTTTCGCGTCCGCCATATTAGATCCGCCATTTTGAATTTTGAAAATTTGATGCCAGATTCGTATTCAGCGACCCCAAAAACCCCTGAGTAACTAGTTTCAAGCAAATTCAGTTTATTTATTATTTTCGCGTCCACCATATTGGATCCGCCATTTTGAATTTTGAAAATCTGATGCCAGATTCGTATTCAGCGACCCCAAAAACCCCTGAGTAACCAGATTAAAGCAAATTCAGATTATTTTTAATTTTCGCGTCCGCCATATTGGATCCGCCATTTTGAATTTTAAAAATCTGATGCTAGATTCGTATTCAGCGACACCAAAAACCCCCGAGTAACGAGTTTTATGAAAATAGGTTTGAAATTTCATCTGAAATACTTTTATTTTATAAAATATTACAAAAAATTGTTATTTATTATTAAAAATTATAAAAAAAAATTTCAAAAAAGTAATTGTAAATATAGTTTAGGATCTAATTTGTAAAGAAAAAAAATGAATTTTTTCTGAAAAAGAAGCATTATTTTTTGTTATTTATTTGTTTATAATATTTTTATTATTAACAAATTGTGAATCAACAGTTTTCTTAGACTTGTTTAGGTATGAGGAACATGCCCAGAAAAAAAACCTTAAATTTATTAATAAATATGCCATAGAAATACTGAAAACTGAGAAGGAAAAGGTGGGTCGCTGAGCGACATACTGTGACGCAAAGGGATAAATGTTACGTCTTTTAATAAGGTACATAATTTATTAAACTTGATACTAATTTACGTATAAAAAAACAAATTTTAAGGTATTACAAATGGGAGAATAATTTTTTTTGTTATTGCGCTGAAGATAAAACACTTAAGTAAGAAAAGGATGTTTTGATAACCTGAAACAGAAAATGAATTTAACTTAAGTCTGGAAACCCTAATATTAACTCAGATTATAGAAAAATTAAATTCTACAATACAAATTTCGGTTTTGACATCAATATTCATTAAGCAAAAATATTATATTACTTAGTAGAAAGTTATAACTTATAATGCTTACTGAACTAAAGTTTTCCATTGAAATTATGTAAATTTTCCCAGCTGATACTTTACATTCGCGAGAGGCTCTTAATAGCATAAATAATAGAAGTCTTTGAGATCTGATTGTCATGTCAGACCAATTGCATTGATAACTGAAAGCATAAGTTATTATTTCTTTAATAGGAGAAGCATTAGTACTTATTGTACTTAGTATAGATTTAATGATGGATAGAATATATTTTTTATTTTTAGCACTCTAATACTGCAATTTTTATCTTACCAATACTGACTAACTTTAGAGCTTTCATCAATCAACATTTGTCCAGGAATTGTATTGAAGTATAAATGAATTATTTGTCCTATAAAAAAGGATCCAAATCTCATGAGAATTTGTGAGTTGTTCAGGTTCAGTATAATCTGTAAAAATTAATTTTTATATTATCATTGTCCTAATGTTGAATTTCGGTATTGCTTTTTTCATGGTCAGGTCAGATGTTGAAGAGGATAGGAAAGACTTTTGTAAGGTCCAAAAATAAATGGGTCAATAATTGTTTTCACGTTTGGAAGGTTGCTTCCATTAGATACTTTTCGTCTTTAGCACATATTCTTTACTGAGGTTTCTAAGGATCATTGATTAGTTCACCCGTAGACCAGGTACCCTAACCCTTCTTAATCAGCTGCGACAGATCCACCACTTTAAGGATGAGGTCCCCAACAATTTGGCTAAGTTTAGGTATATGGTTATTTAACCATTCCCTACAGTCCAGGAATTCTACAAAAACAGCTTTTTTAGGAGACATACATCCTTGAAACAAGAGTAGGGTCCTGAATCAGCCTCCTCCTGTGGATAGCCACCCTGAGTTTGCCTTGATGCTCCACTGTCATCAGTGGGATATTTAGGAATATTTATAGGATCAATAGGAGGTATCGTAAACCTTGGTGTACTAACCTGTACACCTTGGAAACTAATCATCAGCATGTTGATACCAATGATTAATAAAAACATATTAGAAAATGTATGCTCAATATTTTCTGTAAATCTGCAATAAAAGTGCATCAGCTTTGAATTTTTGTTTAACGGTACAGTTACAGCTCTGCATTCATGGCTCATACATGCAGATTGTCATAGTAGCGTACAAGAGTTAGAGAAATAAAATAATTTCCTATCTTTTTCACTCTTGTACGTTACGATGACAACCTGCATTCACGAGCCATAAATGCAGAGCTTCCTTAACAAATACTAATTAATTTTCACAATTTTGCTCTTAATCTGCAAAATAAAAATACAAACTAACTTAAGTATATTATTGTACATTTGAATACATCTGACTAATTTCCTATTGATCTCATTGTCCTTGTCAATATCACAATGATTAACATTATTGTTTCTTTCTACAAGATATTTTAGTCTATGCCTGAAAAATAAATTCACTATTATATTACTCTATGCATAAAATAGAAATTAATTTTATTTCTCGCGTTAGATTGTAAATGCTATCGTTACTATTGTGACGCGTTTTGCCCACTTTCTATATTCTTTATGCTTTTCCCATTAGCTGATTTTTTCAGACAATATAGAAGGTAGGCAAACTTTGTGAAGTCCCATCCTTGGCGGATGGCATTCCTGAGCACGACTGTACAACAATAATTGGAGTACGTTTTAGAAATTTATTTCTATTCAGGAATTTGAAAGATATCGATGTGTAAACAAAAATGAGAGCTTACCCCAAAATTTGAAACATTCCACAAGCATGTTGCACAGAACAGAGAAAGATAATATCTATTGCTATTATATTTGCTAATGTTATGTACGTAGCAAGAATTGCATGAAGATATACAAAATAATAATAATTCTCATTTCTAATAAAAAGATAGTTGACACGAAAGACATAAATTTTTGTTCTTGACTCATCGAGTGGTGAAATAATATCAAGGATTGTTGGCAGCAATGGAATCAGTACGTAAATTGTTGAACTTACGTAACAGTAAACTGAAAATTAAATTAAATATTACATCCTCATTGCTCCATCAAATCCATGCAGTCTTCACACGTCATAATCTTTCCATTCTTCCCCATTCGTCTTTTAAATATTAACGATTTTTTCTCACACTCTCTGAGTGTTCGAGAGAGTGAGAAAAAAGCACTACTTGAGTCAGACTCAGCCATTCCAGAAATCTACCTTATCACTCAATATTTTCCACTGTTTCTCACCTCTCTCTCACTTCAAGCACTCTTCATTAAATTACTCAAAATTTTGCCAAAAACTCTTAACCCTTTACAAATGCGTGCACAACTCAACGGTACCGGAAACGGAAGCCTATATTTACAGTAATTAGATAAGAAAGTTAATTAAACTACTTGCAAACATTGTTGATAGGTATCTTCCTTTTTGTGCCGATCTACTTATTATTTCAATCTCAGCGTTGCTCAAGTTCAACTCCCAGTCACTTCTCATACTATCGGTTAAGAATTTCATCTAGACAGAAATATTTATATGTATATGTCTTCACCCTGAATAAGTTTTGTGTTATTATTATTAAATTTCATCTGGGACGGGATTACGAATGGCAAAATTGCTTACTTTGCAGACTCCCTCTGGACAGGGGAACGTCTTTGTTCTAGAAACGTTCCTAAAACGTTTTTAGAACGTTTCATGTCCACTACCATAACGGCTTATGAACGTCCAATAATAAAACGTTTTTAAGACATTATGTGGATGACATAAAACGTTCTAAAAACATTTAAGGAACGTTTGTAGAAAAAAAGACGTCTCCGTGCCCAGAGGGATGATGGTTAGTAATGTCAGTTAGAATATATTCTGGACCAGGAATAAAAATTAATTACATTAATTTATTTGTTAGGTAAATTAATAATATGTACATACCTTTGACATATTTGAGCTAACAGATATTGCATAACAATAACTAGCTATAACTGTAAATAATGGAGGAATGCTTTCTACAAATTCAGTAGATTCATGTCTGATATCATACGAAGCAATCATCTAAAAATAATTAAATGTTTATTAACTTAACAATAATAGGAGCTCATTTAGAGTTTTTAGATTTAGAAATCAGGTTGTAAAACGGTGTTGATACAGGTAACTGCTTATATGCTGTCCTTCTGGTTTTCACATCTATTTAAAAAGCATAGCCTTTCTATCATAATTTTATTAGTTTATGAACAATTTATGTATAATGTTAGCCACGAACTAACATTATACAGAGATTATAACAGAGATTAGCGTCTCTATTATAATCTTATTAGTTCGTGTCTTTATTTTTTTTGATATTACCTGGGTTCTCGGAGTTAATCATCATTTACCAAGGCTATTGTTCAAGGGTTCGAATTGTTTGTGGTAACCCTTCATAGGGTCTGAGTAACGCTTTAAGTTTCATACTTTTATCTATAGTCTTCCATGCGATGAAGGGAGAAAAAAAATATTACCTGAGTCATTGACCGGAAGGCCTGACCCGAACAAAAAAATCTGAATTGAAGAGCCAAAGGGCTGAAAAAAATTGTATTTGGCACGTCTGAAAGTGCTGAAGAGCCACTTTGTTTAATTAAACTATTGAATTATGTTACGAGTTTATTTTTAGTTGCCTTGACTTTGACTCCTGTCAAAATAGAGAAAAGTTGTCTTGATGAGTAAGTCTAAACCCAATATTGTGCCGTAAATTGACCGAAGAATAAACTAATATTTGTTCCAGTGACTCCAAGTTCAAGACACGTAAGTCGATAAAAATATTAAAGGTAAATCTCTCTTTTTCAATTTAATCCACATGTCGTTGCATAATTATTATAAATTTCAACTCGTTATCACAATTAATTAATGTTGTTAATTTAAACCTTATTGTTACCTGGCTTCTCGGAGTTAATCCTTCTTTACAAAGGTTTCTTATTGTTTGTGGTAATCCACTTTTTTGTACTGATTATGTTAATGATTTAAATTTGTTGAAAAAACTTTTATACTTACTGCTGGAATTAAAATTAGTGTGCATATTCCATGACAAACTGTACGAAAAAATATTCTTTCTCTAGGTGATTGATAGGGCCATTGTCCGACAAGGAATAAAAAAAATTTGTTAACTTTCAAATAGGCATCAATATTACTAGGCTTACTCATATTCAATTAATAATTGGGAGATTTAAATTTCTTTAATTATACTATAATAGAGAATAAAGTACATTTAAAAAATTTCTATTGATGTAGAGACAATCACTTGCTTTTTGTTAACATTGTCATAATTTCAAAATTATTGTCACATTACAAAGTAACGATCTTTATTTCTATATAGTCATCGTACATCTACCGAATATAAAATGTAAGAAGATATTTCTCTTTGGAAAATCCGATTATTGATTATTTGATACATTTAATGGACTGCCAAGAACTATAGAATATTAAATTCATTTACAATGAATTTTAAGTCAGTGGGTGACATATATGCATTAAACGTGTCATTTGAGCTTAATTTATTCATCCACCCTCTATGCGTCTATTATCTTACTAATACTTCGAATAATATTTGCAATAGAGACTGGAACTATTTTGTCTTCTAAAGATTTCAGTGTAAATATCTTATTTTAAGGCAAGGAGAAACATAACATTGAAATTTTAACTTTATTTTATTGCAATATTCTTATTTTACACATACGTTTTCATAAACACATTTTATGAAAAGAAATGAATTTGACAAGTGAATATTTAAAAAATAGATATAAATAAAACTTTCCAAATTCTATATCAGTAGAAAGTCTTTTGAATTTCTCTTTCTTTTTAGAATAAACGTACTGCAAAAAAGATGAATTACTCTGGCAATACTAGAAACAAGGACGTTGATGAGTGGGTTTACTCAATCTTTTCCAACTGAAAATACAATTTTTAAACAATTTAAAAATATTTAATAGAATGTTTATCAAGTAATACTAATAATTAAGTATTAATAAGGTAATGATTGATAAAATTTTTTTAATTTAATTCTTATTCAAATAAAGAAATTTTTATAATTGAATCTCGACCTGGAAAAATTCAAGCAGAAAATATTTTTTTGTTACTAACTCTTTTCACTCTTTACAATCAGGTAATAACTACTAACTGTGCTTTTCTGTGAGTAAATTTTATTTCAGTTATTATTTAAAAATTATATTAAATTTCTCAACTCTCTAATAAAATGTAAATATTCTTACTTTTTCCAAAGGCGACCGATGAAATGTTATTAATTTTTTCTACTTTTATTGCAAAGTTTAAAATCTTTTTACGTAAATTTTGCATTTTAATTTTTGTAGAATTATAAGAAGGAGGTACATGTGGATTAAAAAATTTAATTTCATTATGTAATGATCCATTAAAATTTTTATTAGACTCCCTAATGTGCAACAGACATTTTCTTCTAGTATAATTTACAATTTTTATTTATTACAAGTTGAAAAATAATTTTTTATTATTATATTATTTTTATTGCGCTGAAGTCAAAACACTTAAGTATGTAAACGACGTCTTGATAACCTGTAGAAAAAATATCATTTGCTTTAAATTATTCTAAAAGATTTTTGCTGTTATAAAAAAATGATGGATTGTATTTACTGTTTTTATAATTCAAAAGGGAGTTTTTTTACTAACAGCTGTTTTTTTTCTTTTCCCATAAATACTGATTTACTTACTGCACTGAAGTTTTCCATTGAAATTATATAAAGTTTGTCAGCAGAAACTTTACAATCGCGGGAGGCTCTTAATAGCATGAATAATAGAAGTTTTTAAGAATTAGTTTTCATGTTTGTCCAATTATATTTGTAACTAAAAATTTTAATTACAAAGAGCACTTCATGTTAAATATGAACTATATTAGTTATTTTGTTCGAATGCACAAAAATATAAACAATGTTCAAATCTTACCAATACTCACTAACTTTAGAGCTTTCATCTATTAATGTTTGACCAGGAATTGTATTAAAGTATAAATGAATAATTTGTCCTGCAAAAAAGGCACTGAGTCTCAAAAGAAGTGGAATGTTATTTAGATTCAGCACAATCTATAAGAAAATAAATTTTTAATTTACGTAATAGTCTGAGATCCGAATAGGAAGCGACCTACACCCATCTGTTTACTGGATGAAAATGTTTTTTTTTCAAATATTATATGTGAAGGGAGCTTCCAATTTGGATCCTGTACAATCAAGTGCATTGATACCTTCCCTCAGTAAAGGAATTATTTTAACACATTAATTTTCTCTTCTATGATATTTCTATTAATTGTAACAATTAAAAGACATATTTTGAATAGAGTTCTACTGTCCACTGGACTAACTGGTAAATGAACGTGGACAATTGACAATTTGTCACAAATTAGCGTCTTTTCTAAGGGAAGGCATTATATATGTACAAAAGTGTACAATTCCAAAAATTGTAATTTATATGCATACATAAATGTCTAAATAAAAATATAGGTTTAACTCACTTGTAGCCCTTGAAAACTTATCATTAACATATTAATACCAATGACAAGTAGAAACATATTAGAAAAACAGAGTTCAACATTATCTGTAAATCTATATTTTAGAAAGTATTAGTTTCTTATTATCATCTAATAAATACTGACTAGTTTTAATAAAATTATCTTTTAAAAATTAAACGATGGGCTATGTATTAATAAATAGAGCAATAGAATATGTCATACACACAGCCATCGTAGTCGCGTTCACTCTCTGCTGATGCTGACGACCGTTATTGTCAAAAATCGTCATTTTGGACGTCTGGTGGGGACTATGGGAGTTACGTTCTTTGGCGATAGAGTGAGGATAAGTTAGCACCCGCAGAGGGTTAAGCGTGAAAGGTAGGAGAGAGTAGCGACCGCGCACGAAACTTGCGCCAACTTGCCTCCGCTCCCCCCACCACTCACTCTCCTCGAGCCTATATACATCGCGACACGGTCCCATATCGTCAGATCGTCTACCGACTTGGCTCGAGGTGCTCTTCAGATCTAACAGGTACGATCTCACCTATGGGCATTAGCCTCAGGTAGAGGAGCTCCTCTGTGAGTTAAATGTTGTACAGGAAAATGTACGTTCTATCCATTAAATGTATCTCAGATTTATTGCAAGAAATCGATTAAACCCCGTTAGAACTGATAATTATAGGAATTAGTAATATTTGTTTAAATGAATTTCTAATGTTATACTACAGTTATTGACTAAACCTCAGCAGAAATCACAATTACATGATGATCAACCTAAGATTCACTAATTATCAGTTAAGGAAACTACGATAGGTACCCAGACTCCATCAGGCAAGCGGATTCCGTAGCAAATAAAAATCATAACTTTACAATATACTAACTGAAGTATATTGTTGTATAGTTGAATGCATCCAATTAATTTTTTGTTAACTTCATCATCTTTAGTAACTTCAAGCTGATTAGCATTGCAACTTGTGTCTACAATGTTTTTTAATCTATATCTGAAATAATAAGAGCTTTCAACCATTTTGCAAACTAATTACGTGAAAATTATAATAAACAAAAAACTGGTTAGAATAATATAATTAATTTTATCTCCGGAATTATCGAGACGTACTACTCTAAATATTTTCGGAGAGTCAGCTGAAAAGCTGATGCAATTAATGAATTAATACTTCTTTGATTACAACATTTCAAAACTTGATGAATTCTTCAAATAAAAATATATCAACACAACTGGGTTCAGATAAAGTTTTATGGTTTAAATCACCAGAATAATTGTTACCATACAGTAATTAATAATTAGCTTACCCCAAAAGTTGAAACATTCCACAAGCATGTTGAACTGTACAAAGAAAACTAATGTCTGCAGACAATATACTTGTTACGGTAAAGAATGTAGCGAGAATTGAATGTGCGTATATAAAATAATAGTGATTATCATTTTCAATAAAAATGTAGTCGGCTTGAAAAATGTAAAATTTTGATCTTGAACCATTAAGCGGGAAAATAATGTCAAGAAGTTGTGGTATCAGTGGAATCATTAAAGAAATAGCTGCAGTTATATAGCAGTATACTAAGAATTATATTATATTGTTAATTTTCTATGAAGGTTACAGAATTAGGCCATTAGTGTTTTATTTAACAACTTTCTCAAAGACTACAGTTTTGTCTGTATCAATGCAATAAAAAATAAGTGAGAGATAAAGTTAGTGGTTAATAAAACTACTTTAAAAATGTAAAACAACCAAATCCTTTTCTTTAATCCCTTTCTCAAAAGGAGTATTTGAGATGAAAGTCATAGACGTATATAATGGCCTAACTCGGTAAAGGATTTCATACATTTCTTTACTTTATACACACTAATAATTCAAAATATTTAATTAAACTACTTGCAAACGATAATGCTAAATGTTTTCCTCTTTGGGCAGATCTCCCTATAATGTCGAACTCGAATTTACTGAGATTTAATTGCCAATCATTTTTCATGCAATCAGTTAGTAATTTAATCTTAACAAAAAAAATTACATAAAATCAATTATTGTATTGATAAACTAAGTTAAAAAAGTAAAAGATACTAAATATTCTAAACCCCTGCAGAAATCCGTATATTCAATGTATCCTATTGACATCTAAGGGACAACCATTAGTCAGTATAAATTAGAATATTGCTAAGATGTCCCAAAATGATCGAGAGCTTCATTTTAGAAACATCCAAATTTGATGATAGACCTAGGACGTCTATAGGATATCGTGAAACATCCGTTCTAACAAGGAACGTATTATAAAAAAATAAAGTAGCAGACATACCTTCGACATGTTCATCATAAGAGATAAACCACAAACGTAGCTAAGAATTCCTGTAAATAATGGAGGGATGCATTCCACCAACATAGTAGACTCATTTCTTACTTCATATGCAGCTATTGCCTAGAAAACAAAATTAAGTTTGTAATTTTATCAAGCAGGATTCATTAGGGTTCTCATTAGGTGGGACCTAGAGCCTCTTGTCCAATAAGAAATATACCGAAATAATAAAATCCCTGCGAAGATGATTCTTAACCCAGGAATTACTCTGAGTTTAATAAAAAAATATACTGAAATAATTAAATCTCTGCGAAGATGATTCTTAACCAAGGATGTACCCAAAGGCGAATTAAGTCTTTTAGAAAATTAATTTTTGAACAATTTAATACTGTGACGATGTAAATTGTCACACCATCTGTCGCAACTTTCTGAATTTTTCTTAAAATTTCTCCAGTCCAACAATGGAAGAAAAGAATTTGTAAGTGTTTATATAGTTATCAATTCTATTCAGCTTGCTCATATTGTATTTAGAATTAAAACATTATGTGATAAAGCAATTGATGATCACACTTTTGCTTAAATACAATTCTGCGATTACTTGTTAATTTTCTTAATTTCACTGGAATCTAAATTTATTGTATTTGTTACAAAAATAAAGTTCCTTCTGCCTATACGTTCATCGTGCATCTGCTGTAGAGAAACTGTAAGAAGAAATCATCCTTGGAAAATAAGATTATTGATTAGTTGAAAACATTTAATAGACTGCCAAGAAGTACTAAAGTATTAAATCAGTTACAATGAATTTTAAGTCAGTTGGTGAAATAAATGCATTAAGTGTGTCATTTTAGCATTACGTATTCATTTCTTCACTCGATTTATTATCTTACTATCACTTCGAAACTAAAAACTTTATTTGCAGTGCAGCAAGAAACTCTTTAGTTTTAAACCATTAGTTTGCAAAATTCCTGAAAATTTTAGGAACATTAATTTTTTGTTCAAAGATCTACACATGAATATTAAGAGAACAAAATGTACTTTTCTCTAAACTCCATTTCAGTTTCTTGAAAAGTTTCAAATTATTGACATAAATGATATCATTTATAAATATATATATATATATACATATATATATATATATATATATAATATTTATATTTTATATCATTTATAACCCCATATGGGGGTTATAAATGATCTCTGTCTACAGATGCATTGGATGTGACCGAATTGAAGTATTTACTTAGAATGTCTGATAACGCGTCTCCTGAAGCGTCTCTAAAATTTTAGATATTTTTGGGACATTCTTCGAACTAACCCAATTATTATATTCCCTAGTGTTTTCTGATTTAATTTTAATTAATGATAATAAAAATTAGGATAAAAAGTATTTGTGCTTTTCACTGGTTTGTAGACAACACAAAAATGTCAGACTGTCACGTAAAGAACCATTTGTTACAGATGAAAATTTTAGACTAGGACTTGTACGGAGCACCACTTCTCAATTCTTATAATACTGACGACTACATTTTTTTGACTGCAGTCAAAAAAATGACTAGCTGTTGATGGTCTGGCCCTTTTTATACTAAAAATTATTCTCGAAAATTTACCTTAAGCCATGTATTTTCGGAAAAGTATTGTAAGAACACTTGCGTTGACTCAGCTATTAGATCGCACGTGTTTCATTTCCTCTGAGTCATTTTATTATATTTTTAATAATAATTTGCTTTTACAATTTAATTATTTACAATTATAATTTGTTATGTTATTTGTTAATTATTTATAGTTATTACAATTCAGTTATCATTTATTATTATTAATTTATTATTACAATTCTTTATTAATTGTTGTTTGTTTTTATAATTTTGTTATTAATGATTTATGATCAATATGTCAGAATTAACAATATGTTAATAACGAGGATTTAAAAAGTAAAAAAAATTGATTGCAAGAAATGATGATTTTTTCAATTTGGAACAATTAAAGTCATCAAATAATTAAATTCAAAATTTAGATGATAAAATAAAATCTCTTGTTGCTGCAAATTAGAAAACATTCCTTATATTGAAGAAGGTACATGTGAATTAATAAATTTAATTTCTTTATGTTATGATTAATTTAAATTTTTATTGTACTCACTAATGTGCAATAGACCTTTTCTTCTAGTACAATTTTATCATTTTTATTTATTATAATTTAAAAAATAATTTTTATTATTATATTATTTTTATCGTGCTGAAGTCAAAACACTTAAATATGAAAATGACGTCTTGATAACCTGGAGAAAAAATGTCATTTGCTTTAAATTATTCTAAAAGATTCTTGCTGTCATAAAAAAAAATTGTTGATTACATCTACTGTTTTCATAATTCAAAAGGGACTTTTGTATTAAGCTGATGAATTTTTTTCTTTTTCTGTAAATACACCATAAATGCTGCATTACTTACTGCACTAAAGTTTTCCATTGAAATTATATAAAGTTTGCCAGCAGAAATTTTACATGCGCGGGAGGCTCTTAATAGCATGAATAATAGAAGTTTTTGAGAATTAGTTTTCATGTTTGTCCAATTACATTTGTAACTAAAAATTGTAATTACAAAGAGCACTTCATGTTAAATATGAACTATATCAGTTATTTTGTTCGAATGCACAAAAATATAAACAATGTTCAAATCTTACCAATACTCACTAACTTTAGAGCTTTCATCTATTAATGTTTGACCAGGAATTGTATTAAAGTATAAATGAATAATTTGTCCTGCAAAAAAGGCACTGAGTCTCAAAAGAAGTGGAATGTTATTTAGATTCAGCACGATCTATAAGAAAATAAATTTTTAATTTACGTAATAGTCTGAGATCCGAATAGGAAGCGACCTACACCAATCTGTATACTGGATGAAAATGTTTTTTTTTCAAATATTATATGTGAAGGGAGCTTCCAATTTGGATCCTGTACACTCGTGCTCATTAATGCCTTCCCTCAGGGAAGGCACTAATTTCACGAACTTTGCCTACCATCTATATTGTATAAAAAATCAGCCAATGGAAAAGTAAAATTCCTATGGAATTATTGGCACGAACTATAAAAAATATAGAAAGTGGGCAAAACGCGTCAAATTAGTGCCTTCCCTGAGAGAAGGCATTAATGAGCACGAGTGTACAATCAAGTGCATTCATGCCTTCCCTCATAGTTAAGGAATTAACTTAACTTATCAATTTGTTTTTCTGTAATATTTTTATTAATTGTGACAATTGAAAACATAATTCGGATTAGGGTTCTACTGTCCACTGGACTAACTGGTAAATGAACATGAATATTTGACAATTTGTCACAAATTAGCCCCTTTTCTAAGGGGACGCATACCCTCTGGGCACGGAAACATCTTTGTTCTAGAAACGTTCCTAAAACGTTTTATGTCCTCCACTTAACGTCTTAAAAACGTTTTATGTTCTAAAAACGTTTTTAGAACATTGGACATTCTTAAGCCGTTATCTAGTGGACATGAAACGTTCTAAAAACGTCTTAGAAACGTTTCTAGAGCAAAGACGTTTCCGTGCCCAGAGGGTAGATGCACTGAAGTGTACAATTCCAAAAATTGTAATCTAGAAGCAACTGGAAGATAACAAATACCCACATACATAAAAACCTAAGTAAAAATAATGGTTCAACTCACTTGTAGTCCTTGCAAACTTATCATTAACATATTCAGACCAATGACAAATAAAAACATATTAGAAAAACAGTATTGAATATTTTCTGTAAATCTATATTTCAGAAATTATTAGTTTGTAAATGTTTTATAAATAAAGAATTCAAATAGGAAAAGTTAGCTTCGTAAATACTGAAGAATGCAATTTGCAATAAACTAACAATTAAGAAGGTTGAAAAGTTATTTAAACGCATTACTTTTTTCTACTTTTATTGTTATTTTTAATGCTTGTAGATACTAATGAACTTTTATATATATACTAACTGAAGTATACTGTTGTATAGTTGAATGCATCCAATCAATTTTTTGTTAACTTCATCATCTTTAGTAACTTCATCATCTTTAGTAACTTCAAGCTCATTAGCATTGTAACTTTTATCTAAAATGTTTTTTAATCTATATCTGAAAGAATAGAGTTCACAACAGTTTTGCAAAGTATAATGAACAAAAAATTCGTTTAAATAATTTCTTTGACCCACCCTAAAAGTTGAAACATTCCACAAGCATGTTGAACAGTGCAAAGAAAACTAATGTCTGCAGACAGTATATTTGTTATGGAAAAGAATGTTCCGAGAATTGAATGTACATATATATAATAATAGTATTTATCATTTTCAATAAAAATGTAGTTGGCATGAAAAATGTAAAATTTTGATCTTGAACCATTAAGCGGTAAAATAATGTCGAGAAACTGTGGCATCAATGGAATCATTACGTAAACTGCTACAGTTACGTACACGTATACTAGAAATTATTTTACGTTTAGAGTTTATAAGCAGAGTGCATATAATAACTTATTTATAATGACCTAATTCCGTAAAGAATGTAATCTTTATTTATTTTCTTTATACACACTAATAATTCAAAATATTTAATTAAACTACTTGCAAACGATAATGCTAAATATTTTCCTCTTTGGGTACATCTCCCTATAATGTCGAACTCGACTTCACTGTGATTTGATTGCCAATCATTCTTCATACAATCGGTTAGTAATTTCATCTTAACAAAAAAAAAAATTTTCATAAAATCAGTTACAATATTAATAAAGTGGTAAGTTGGAAAAAGTAAAAGATACTAAATATTCCAAATCCATACAGTAATCCGGATATTCAATGTATTTTATTGACATCTAAGGGATAACCATTAGTCAGTATAAATTAGGATATTGATAAGATGTCCCAAAATGATCGAGATCTGCATTTTAGAAATATCCTAATTTGATGATAGACCTAGGACGTCTATAGAATATCGGGAAATATCCATTAAAACAAGGAAGGTATTATAAAAAAAAATAAAGTGGCAGACATACCTTCGACATGTTCATCATAAGAGATAAACCACAAACGTAGCTAGCAAATCCTGTAAATAATGCTGGAATGCATTCCACTAATATAATAGACTCATTTCTTGCATCATATGCAGCTATTATCTAGATAACAATGTTAAGTTTATAGTTTTATCGAACAGGCTTCATTAGGGTCCTCATTAGGTGGGACCTAGAGCCTCTTGCTCAATAAGAAATATACCGAAATAATTAAATCTCGGCGAAGATAAATTATTTATTTGAAATTCATACGTCACAATACTTACGGCTGGAATTATAAATGTTGTTAATGTTACATAACAAACTAAACGTAATATTACTTTTTCTTTCGATAACTGATAGGGCCACAGTCCAATAATGGAAGAACAGAATTTGTAAGTGTTTATATAATTATCAAATCTATTCAGCTTGCCCATCTTTTATAAACATTCGTTTTAATTTTGGATCCCAAAACAGATTAGAAATTAACTCTTTAATTATCACTAAAAAATTGTGAATGTAAAGTATGTGATATAAATGTTTTACATCTATTCTGATTGTCAAACTCCTGATTGACAAAAATATAAGCAGATGAAAAGAAATTTAATTAATAACGTTGATTGAACTAAGTGACCATTACCTACATTGATTGACAAAAAATTCCTTAGGATATTCAACTGTATTATTGTGAATTATGTTCAGGTATTATTTGTTAAGAAAAATAACGATCCCTCTGTCTATACGTTCATCGTGCATCTGCTGTAGAGAAACTGTAAGAAGAAATCATCCTTGGAAAATAAGATTATTGATTAGTTGAAAACATTTAATAGACTGCCAAGAAGTACTAAATTATTAAATCAGCTACAATGAATTTTAAGTTAGTTGGTGAAATAAACGTATTAAGCGTGTCATTTTAGCATTACGTATTCATTTATTCGCTCTATCCATTATCTTACTTCGACACTAAAGACTTTATTTGCAATACAGCAAGAGACTCTATAGTTTCAAACCATTAGTTCGCAAAAGATTTCTTTATCTATCGTAGTTTGATCAACTAACATACATTTAAGAAAATTGAAATAAGATACATATAAGAATTTAACTTATCCTTGAAATATTTTACAAAGGTTCTGTAGCAGCCACAACAAAGATCCATTAAAAAATTCTGTCTAAAGAAAAAAGTTTATGTACATTTTCCAATTAAAAATATTTACAATTAATTTATTTGCCTCTTAGTATGTAGGATCTCCTATAGAAGGTTGTTGTACAAGAGTTACAAAAAAGAGGGTACATCAATTTAATATTAAAACATTTCCCTGGTCCTAATGGAAAAACAATTAATTGTTTTTGACTGGATTCGGCAACAAGACTGTAAGAAAATTTATATTTTTAGAAATGTATTTTATTACGAGGAAGTTCTCTCCTGTTGATGGGCAACCGAAAATGATGCCATGAATGTACGAATTTTGTCTTTGGGTTCGCGCTTCGGGGAAAATCGTTTTGGGTTCGGAGAATCGGTGGAGTTGGGGGGAATATTTCCGCGATATGAAGCGATCGTCCCTCTAGTTCTCTGTCTCATTTGCTTATTGAACTCAAGGGAAGGTTCCGCGCCATACGCGAAGTCCAATGCCTGAGACCTCGAGGTAAAAACAAGATTCGTATTTCTTATAGTTTTCTTTAATTTTATTTTGTTCATTGGTTTTTTTTTGTTTACCTCAAATTTTGTTCAATTTTTTTATTGTAATTTCACGTAGTGTGGCGTTTATTTGCAATTTATGGGCGGAATAAATTTCATGGCGAGGGTGTGGATTTATAAAGGAGAACTAGACGGGTGATTTGCTGTATCTGCGAGAAATAAAAGGAAGATTGGAGACGAGCCTGAATTATCGTGCCAATCCTTATCAAAAGTAAAGGAGGATAACAAAGAGACCTCAACTTCGCGACAGAAATCAACAACGCTGTTTCTCCCGACCCACGCCATTGATGATCTTCCCAATCATTGTCGAAATCGATGAGTATTTTGTTGAATCTCTCTTTATTGTTTTATGAAAGTATTTTCATGCACTGAATTTCATTTGACTATATATTTTCTGTGTGATTTAATTTATAATTTATATGTATGTCCTAAATTTGTATAAAATACTTGACTTGTTGTGTGAATGAATGTCTTTTTGAATGTATGTATATTAATAACGCGGGCATAAGTTATAATTGTAAATTATTTGATTGACTCGAGTCAAAACGATCGATTTTCTGAATTTTAATATATTATTTTATTGTGCATTTATTTGTGATATTTCTTCTTTATTGAGTTCATTCCTTTTATCAATTGTTAAAATTTTCTTGATGTTTACATTTTCTATTTGATTTATTTTATTTGAAATTCAATTATTTTCTCTTTTAAAAGTGTATTTATTACATAAATGGCGCCCGAACAGGGACATGAATGAGTGCCCAAAATTTTGAATGATTGAGATTTATTAATTTTGTTTTGTATAAATTTTGTGAAATATTGTATTTTTTTTATGAAACGTATTCTGGGGAGAGAAACTCGATCTCGTCCGGGAATTTTATTGGAGGGTTTAACTTTCGAACGTCGTAAAAATAATCGCGAAAACAAACGAACAATGTCGCAACCTCCGGGTGAATTTGTAAATAATGTTGGAAATTTAGGAAATAATAATGACATTGTTATTGACGAATTGCGAGCTGAAATTGATCGATTGCGTACAATAAATTCTGCTCAAAATATTCAATTAACGCAATTGCAAAATCGTATCCATGAAAGTTCAAGTGATGTGGGCAGTCAGCTGGTGCGAACTCTTATTGACGGATTAAGGGGATTAAATGTTGAGACCAAGATTCCGAGATTTTGTGAGCCGGAAAATCCGAATCATTTTATTGAAAAATTAGAAAAATATTTTGTGTTAAAGAATTTGCAAGGGAATCGGTTAAGTTTGATAGATGGGTGCTTCGATGGCCGGGCACGCGCCTGGTTCGAATCGCAGCGGAGTACTTTAATTAATTATGCGGATTTTAAAACAAAATTTCTGGCGGAGTTCTTTTCGATTCCGATCCGTGTTAAATTACGGGCGGAATGGTTGGCGCGTCGATTTGATAACTCATCTGATAATTTGCAAACTTATTTTATGCGTCAAATTAAAGAAGCTCAATTTTTTACTCCGCAATATGAGCCCTACGAATTACATTTTATGATTATTCAGCAATTACCTATGAGAGTGCGGGAAATTGTTTCTACCATCGATTTTAAAGATTATGATAAAATATCACAGTGTCTTGCTCAATTGGATTTCGCTTTTCAAGAGAAAACAAGTCATTATAATGTCAAGTCTCGAAATTCGGTTTCCAACGCGTATAATGAAAATAAAAATAATGATAAGCGAAATCAACAACAGTCGCAATCATCAAGGCCTTCGCTTGTAACGAATTCGTATATACAGGCAAATAGTTTTCACGCCGAAAATCCAAATATTAATGGTCACTCCCGGTCTTCTGAACCACGTGTTCCCCTACCCGATACCAGTCGGCCCCCTCCGCCCTTTTCCTCATCTGTGAAAAACATCAAAGACTTTAACTCTATGAATCAGTTAGCAATTTCGAAAGGCGCGAGCCATTCAACAATATTTTCAAGTCGGCATTTATATGATGAATTTAATCAAGTTATCGATGATGTCGCGAATAATTTAGAAAAACGATGTGACGAATCTACGTGCAGTCCATCTTGCCCGCGTATTATTGTTGCAATGCAGTCAGTGCCGGCTTCATCATTAATTGATACGGGAAGTCAGATTACGGCGGTGTCAGAGGAGTTTTATAATTATTTAAAAAAATATTATCAAGTGCTTGAACTGCCTGTTTCGAGTGTTGTTCTTTTTACAGCCATTGGGAAGAAATCAACTCCCATTAAGAAGCAAATAATGTGCAAATTGACGATTGGAGATTTCGAATGTGAGTCATTTTTTTTAATTGTTCCCAATTTATCTACTTCCGTTATTTTAGGTAATGACTGGCTTTTAAAGAATAAAGTGATAATAGATTATGAAAGGGGACTTATGATTATTGACGGAAATATTGTTCGTTCTTTGCTGGTATCATTTGGGAGTTTGACAAATAATAAAGGTGTTATTCAAGAAGGAGGGGAGGTGATTCAAATTGTACAAGGTTTAAACGTAAAAAATAATACTAACATTCGCGAAGAAGGGGGGAGTGATATGAATAATGATTGTAAGATGATTAATTTTCGCGAATTTGATGATTTTAAAAGTAATGTAGAATTTGAGAATGACGTAAGGGGGGAGAAATCATGTTTTGATGTGAAGGTCGCAAAGGAAATAACAGCTGATTTCTCTCATACCGATGATTTAGAATTCATGACGTGTCAAGCTCGAAATGAAAATTACAAAAATATGAACGAATATTATTTAGTTGAAAATGACATTGAAAATAATTCCGGTTTTTGTGAAATAATATTTGAAGACGAAGTTAATAATAATGACGATACACATGTTATTAATGAATTAAAGAGAATTAACTCTATGGATGTTAAGAATCAGGATAATTCTTTGTTTTTTAGTGAAGTGGAAAGGATTGCGGCGGAAATAAAAGATATTAAGCATCGGGAACGCGAATTTGTTATTAAGCGACTATCGGAATTTGAGAATTTGTTTACGTCTAAAATTGGGGTCGCTGATACACCGCCGTATCAATTAAAAATCAAACCACATAAAAAATTTATTAGAAAATCATACCCAGTTCCCATGACATTCCGCGAGCGAACTAGAATCACGTTACGAGAAATGAAAGATGCGATGATAATTGAGGAGTCTGATAGCGATTATTGTAGCCCTCTTAGGATCGTAGTGAAGAGTGATGGTACAATACGTGTGTGTTTGGACGCACGGTATATCAATGAAATTATAGAATCGGACCATGAGGTCCCACCCCTTATTTCTGAGGTGATGCAGAAATTCCATGGTGTTACTTTCATGTCAATGACCGATTTATCCTCAGGCTACTGGCAAATCCCCCTTGATAAGGATTCGAGAAAATATACCGCATTTCTTTTCGACTCGAAATTGTATCATTTTTGTCGAGTACCGTTCGGCATTAAAACGGCCGGATCGGCATTTATTAGAGCACTTAATTCCGCGATTGGTCATGAATTCGATGATTGTTTGACAACATATATAGACGATTTTTTAATTTCGACAAAGGGTTCAATAACTGATCATATTGATCGTATGTGTTCGGTATTTAAAGTGTTACAAAAAAAAAATTTCACCCTAAATTTAAAAAAATCAATATTTTGTAAAAAAAACGTGGAATTTTTGGGATATGAGTTAACGACTGAAGGAATTCGTCCTCCACAAAACAAATTAGAGGTAATTTTAAATTTTCAATCGCCCCGTAATCGTAAGGAGCTGCGTCAATTTATTGGCGTTTGCACATACTATAGGCAGTTTACGGTGCGACATGCGAATCTTATATATCCCTTCCGTGATATTCTGAAAGAAAAAAGTCCATGGGAATGGGGGGAGAAGCATGAAGAGGCTTTTAAAATCATGAAAAAAGCGTTTGTTAATTCAGTTAGATTGAATCATCATATTCCGGGTGTTCCTTATCGCTTGCAGACCGATGCTTCAGACGCGGGTTTAAGCGGGGTTCTTTATCAAATT